TAGTAAAGCCAGAAATTGGGGAGACCTAGGCCTCCCCCCCATTGTGACCGGTAGAGGACCGATGAAGTAAAACGAGGGCGTTTGTTACGCCAAATAAAATTATTAATAATCCGTGAAAGCGATCTAAGAACGTTTTTGAGACAGGGATTGGGAGTGATCTAAATAAAGTAATTTAGGGAAGACATTCATTGTTACTGCCGTGACTCTGCCAAGAATGAGATAGGGGATCCATGCCAGATCTTCAATAGAGGTGAGAGGCGTGACACACATGGTGGCCAATTAGCAGCAAATAATTTTGAGTATCTGGGGGTGAGGTTTATACCTAGGTATGAAATCTGATCTGTGGCCCAACGAAATGGAAAAGAATTGCGGAGAGATGCACCCAGGGAATCAGGAACATTAATAGGCAGAACTACTGATTTAGTAAAATTTACAGTAAGACCTGATACTGTTACAAAGTCATTCAATAATGAGCAGAAGTCAGGCAATGACACCAACAGTTTAGTAAGGAAAAGCATAACATCATCTGCATACATACAAATTGTGAAATGTGAACCAATAATGGGGAACCAGAAATGTCTGAGTGTGATTATTGCAATTGCCAAGGGTTCCAAAACAAGCGCCAATAATAAGGGTGAAAGAGGACAACCCTGACGGGTACCTCCGCCTAGTGTACAAAATACAGAATTGCAGCCTGGAAGTCTTATTCTTGTTTTGGGGGGAGTCATACAAAGCATGTACACCAGACAGAAATTCATCACTAAAGCCCATCTTCTGCAGTAATGAAAACAAGTATGTATGGCCAGAGGACACCATCAAAGGCCTTGTTAATGTCCCGGCTCAGCAACAAAACTTCTTTAGAATGCAAATTGGCGTCCTGAATAACATTTAATGTGAGAGGAATATTGTCCGTGATAAGTCTGCCTGGGATAAATCCCGATTGGTCCGGTGAGACCCAAAGAGGAGATAATAGGGGCCAACCTATCTGCCAGAATGCGGCTAAATATTTTCAGATCATTGTTCATCACTGAGATTGGTCTATAGTTTTGAGGTAAATGATGGTCTTTCAGGGGTTTAGGTAATAGAGACAGGTTAGCCAAGAGTATCTCCTCAGGAAACCTACCGCCCTGCAAAACATCATTGAATAATGACATCAAAGAGGGAGCCAATGTAGGAGCAAAATGTTTATAATAACTGGCCGTGAACCCATCAGGGCCGTGCTGTGGAAGTTCTTAGTGTGCTAATCACACAGGATATTTCCTTCAAAGTGCATGGGGCATTGAGAGAGGATATCTGAGAGGGTGAGAGAACAGGGAGGGGTATAGAATCAAGCCATGAGCCATTTGAGGAAGCAGAAGTTGGTTGCGGGGGAGCTAACAGGGTGGAATAAAAATTTTCAAAAATACCCAGGACTTCACGAGGAAGAGAGGAGATACTGCCGGATTTAGTACGTAACTTGTAGATATGTGGGGGTCGTATTGAAAGGTTTAATTTCTGTGCCAACATAGTAGACCCTGAATTACTATGTAATAAAAAGGAGGCCTTTGACCAGCGTAGAGCTTTTTCAGTTTTTTGGGATAGTAAAGTATTCAGTTCTAGACAGCTTTTGCGATATCATGGTTTTGTTACGGAGAGATGGATTGCCATCATGAGCCCTATAATGTGATTCTAATTCTCGGGTAAGTTTCTGAATTTGTTTCCATCGCTCTCTATTTCTAGAAGAAGCCATAGAAATAAGGTGGCCTCGCAGGACCGCCTTATGGGCTACCCACAAGATGGCCGGGGAGATATCAGGAGTTGTGTTTGACTGAAAGTATTCTTGAATGGAAGTAACTACTTCATGGCGGGTGTTAGTATCCGTAAGCATAGAGTCGTTAAGTCTCCAGGAGTAGGGAGTAGGGGCTAGACCTATAAAAGTGATAGACAGCGCGATAATATTATGATCTGACCAGGGGCTTAAATGAATGCAAGCTTTCCTAGAGTTAGCCAGCAGAATGGGGGAGCAATAGATATAATCTAGTCTAGCATAAGAGTCATGTGGGTGGGAGTAAAAATGAATAATCTCTAGCTCCTACATTATGTGCCCTCCAGGAGTCTACCAGTTGAAGTGTGTCTAATTTTTTGGTAAGGGATTTTGGGAAGGCCTGGGAGGATGGTGAGGAGAGCTTTGGTCTAAAAGGGGGTTAGCTACCAAATAAAATCACCTCCCACCAATAAACGAGAGGGGATAGAAACCTATCAAGAATTTTGAAATAAACGGGAAAAGAAGGATGCTTGCGCCGAATTTGGTGCATAGACATTAGCGATCGTGAGTTCACGACCCGAGAGGGTGCCTTTAATAATGATAAATCTGCTCTCAGGGTCACGTGCCCGAGGGTTTTTTTACTACAAAACACATGGGAATAACATCCCTGCCCTGCTCGTCCCGGGGAACTCTGGTAAGTACCTGCTGATCTACCAGGTCCCCAATTAGGACACGCAGGGCCTGCACCCTTTCCCGATCCTTGGGAAGGTGGGTTACCAGATACCTGGTGGGGGGACTGAAGTTGAACTCCAACCTGTACCCCTTCTTGATCAAGTCCAGGATGTACAGTTTAGAGAAGATTGAAGCCTACTGAGGGAGAAAGGTCCCCAGTCTTCTTTCCATTGGGACGTTCAATTCATTGAGATGAGACTTGGTGGGCCTTGAGGAGGATTGAATAAGATTCCTCCTCTTCCCCTATTCCTGTGCCCTGTCCAATGTTTCTTAGGCTGAACCTCCTTAGCCTGCTGGGCATGTGTTTTTTGACAAAAAACCCTACTAGAGTAAAACCTTTTCTTACTCTCTGGGAATGTCCTCTTGTTATGGGCTGTACATTCCAGAGCCTCCTCGAGACCTGGACCAAAAAGATTATCGCCAATAAAGGGTAAGGCACAAAGGTGCAGTTTGAATGCTGAGTTCCCTGCCAGGTTTTTAACCAAAATGCCCTTTTAGCTGAATTCACTAGGGCAGAGGTTCAAGCCGCTAGCTTAACTGATTTGGCCGAGGCATCCACAAGGAAACCAACTGCTTTAAACAGCAAAGGAAATTATTTCAGGATTTGCTGCCTGGAGGTCCCTGCCGAGAGATGCGACTGTGTGACTAAGCCAGCATTCCAGATTTCTGGTGACACAGGTAGCCGATAAAGGTGGCCTAAGGCTGATGGAAGTGGAATCCCAGGCCCTGCGGAGTAAGACTTCATCCCTCTTATCCATAGGGTCTTTCAGAGCCCCCATATCTTCAAATGCTTAAGTCTGTCCTTTTAGAGACTTTAGATAAGGGGGTGTCTAATTTCTGAACCTTGTTCCATTGCTGGGACCTGTTATCCTAAAAAGGAAACCTCCTTTTAAGATTTACTTGAGAAAAAGGGTTTCCTCTCAGGGCTTTCCCATTCCTGCCTAATGGTATCAACCAGGGAACTATGGACTGGAAAGACACTAGTCTTTCTAGCATACAAACCTTGATACATGAGGTCATGCTTAGATAGGCAAACATCCTCCTCCTCGATCTCTAAGGTTTCGTAGATAGCTTTAAGGAGGTCGTCCACATCTTCCAGGGGCAATTTGTTCCTGGAACCTCTGGAGGAGCAACTTCACCATCCTCCTCTTATGAGCCTGAATCTACAGGAAGCAAGGGACCTAGGATCCTCCTCCGGGTCCTCCTCCCTCTTTTAATGCATCTGCTACCTACAAACCAGCCGATTGGGTCCAAGGATCCAGTGGCGACTGCATTTTTCCAACAGGGATCTAAAGGAGTGAAATGTAGACAACATGTCATCCTTAATGGAGGTGAGCACTTTATGGCAGGCTGTAAATGACTTATCCTTAATTAGGCTAGCCACACAATTGCAGCATAAGGGTTTTTCCCAAGCTGAACCCAATTTAGCTGCACAAACTGCACACTTCTTCTTGGGGGTCTGACTCTGCACCTTGTCCTGGACTTTAACCTACAATAAGCAAGAAAAAACACAATACAGAAAATAATCAGCCCAGGGCCCCTCATACAAAAACCACTGTGCTGGGGGAGCAAGAAAAGGAAGTGTGCCCACCAGGGTCAGCAAGAGGGATCAGAGTCCCCAAGCTTACCTTAGAGGAGCCAGTGCCTGAAGGACCAGGGTCTGCCTGAGAAGTGCCAGCGCCTTCCATCCATCCCTCTTGGTGTAGAGCCACAGGCTCTGCTGGGTCTGTACACCAGACTGGCTGCCTACCAGATGCCTGTGCTGCTATGGAGACTGGAACCACGAGTCTCCAGCATTCCTCGATGACGTCACTGCAGCCAGAACTTCCGGTTCCTGGACAGCACCCAGAAGTTGCGGCTACTCGCACGCCTGCTTGGCAGTCATTCTGCCCCACTGTGCATCGGATGCTGGAGCCCCCCCCCCCCACACGGGAAGGAATGCAACAGGCATCAAAGGTCCTGGACCCCCCAGGACACCCCCAATGGTCATCATCCACTGAGGCATGGAAAGATATCAGGAGCGCAGCCCCACTCCCCCTGAAGGGATCACGTCAGGCAGGAGGAAGTAAGCCAGACCAGACCAGGAGCCACCAGCAACCTCTAGGGCCCAGGACTTCCAACAATCAGTTCCTGATGGACTGCACCCATCCTTGCAGAGGAAACACTAAAAACTCAGGAGGGAGGCCTGGTGGTCCGCCTTTTATAGTAACTGTGCTTACGTGTTTCCTGTCCCAGAGGGAGGAGCTCTGTCTCAGGAAGGATGTCCTGGAGGACGTTTGGAGAAATGAACATTAGAATGACTGAGAGACAAAAGCCAGAAATAGATCAGTGGCTGCATGCACGCCTCATTGTTAGGCTGCAGGTAGAGAGGCAGAGATGAGGCAGGATTTATCATGAAATACAAATTAAAGTGTATTATTATCAAAACAGCCAAGAATATTTCACAAGGTCTGAAAAGTATGTAAGTCATCGAGTTATTCCCCAATTTAAGAAGAAGAGCATAACTGCAGGTAGTAAATGTAAGAGAGGAGTAACTGCAGATGATAGTAAATGTAAGAGAGGAGTTGCAGATGATACGATGGTGGGTAGTATGTACAGGAGAGAGGAGTACGGAGGTATGACAGTGATGGGTATGTACAGGAGAGGAGTAGGTATGACAGGAGGGGTATGACAGTGATGGGGTATGACAGTGATCGGTATGTACAGGAGGGAGTACGGAGGTATGACAGTGATGGGTATGTACAGGAGAGGAGTACGGAGGTATGACAGTGATGGGTATGTACAGGAGAGGAGTGTGGAGGTATGACAGTGATGATGGGTATGTACAGGAGAGGAGTACGGAGGTATGACAGTGATGGGTATGTACAGGAGAGGAGTACGGAGGTATGACAGTGATGGGTATGTACAGGAGAGGAGTACGGAGGTATGACCGTTCCCAGGGAGGAGTATCTCAGGAAGGGTCTATACTCCACCATAACTCTGGTTCTCGGAGTGTCAGGTCCCAGCGGGTTCTCCTGGTGTCTCTCTCCTGTTATTCTGTCTCGGACACATCAGAGGAACATGGTGGGAGATCGGCCTGAATGTCCTTCCTAGGAGGGAATACCGGAGCCATTCTGAGGCCCAAATGATGGCCGGCAATGAGGAGGAAACCAACACTGAGAAGTAGATGCTGAGATATATACAGCACGGGGCAGCACAGTGGCTGAGTGGTTAGCACTTCTACCTGGCAGTACTCGGGTTGTTGGTTCAAATCCCAACCATGGCACCACCTGCCTGGAGTTTGCATGTTCTCCCTGTGTGCCTGTGTGGGTTTCCTCCGGTACTCCTGTTTCCTCCACACTACAAAGACATGCTGGGAGGTGAATTGTCTCCTGTCTAAGTTGTCCCTAGTATGTGTATGTATGAATGTGAGTTAGGGCCCTTAGATTGTACGCTCCTCGGGGGCGGGGACTGATGGGAATGTACAATATAGATGTAAACTGACGGCGCTATATAAGTACCTGGAATAAATAATAATAATACACCCAGATCATCGATGACGAGGAGGAAGGTTCGGTCACAGATGATTGGTCCGTCTATAGCAGGGACAGGAGCCGGGACCAGGAATAGGAGATCCACCTGACTTACCCGTGTGCTCTGACATGGAGAAGATCCCATGCTGGCCCTATGGTGGCCGTGTGTTCAGGATGGAGACCGACAATCACAGGACCTTCTGGAAGCCGATCTAAAAATGGCTGAAAGGAGGAAAGTGTTCCCGGGACAGGAAGTGACACCAGACAGGAAGTGACACAGACAGGAAGTTACTCCAGACAAATTTATACAGAGGCTGCATTATGGAGAGCAGACACTAGATGGTGCTGGTACAAAAAAAGCTGAATAGAATGAAATAACAGCGAAAAAAAACCTAAAAAGCAAAAGACGATGGCGGCTCGTAAAATTCCTATTTACTTCCACTCTTCATGTTACATCACGTGACTTCCTCAGGAGTTGGCCATCGGACGTACAGCTGCCTATATATACCTTTATAATCCTTAATAGACTAATCGGGCGCCATTTTGTTGTAGCCTGTCTGTCCCTTATTTGGTGGCCATTTTCCCTTGGTCTAATATAGTGTTTTTACATTACAGTGCAGTGGATTAGTTCTCCCTCCTCCATTTTGTGGTAGCTCGCCTGTCCCTCCTCCAGTGGCTGTTTTTCCCTTGGTCTAATTTAATGTTATCACATTTCAGCGCAGATTAGATCTCCCTCCTCCATTTTGTTGTAGCCCGCCTGTCCCTCCTCGGGCGGCCATTTTCCCTTAGTCTGATATGAATGCTGGCACATTTTTTCCCCCTGATATTAGACATTAGCCGGGTGATTGTATACACACAGCGGGCAGATCTCAATCAATGTCACCCACTAGTCTATACTGTCACGGGGTTGGCCAGCCAATCATGTGGCTCCTATTCTGTCCTTCCAATGACCATTCCTAGTACATAGGACTCATCTTCCATACTACATTCATGATACAACAAGATGGAAACTCCCAATATACAGAGAAAATCTCCCATAAAATACATAGAAATCACATCTGCCCTAAAGGGCCATAAACATAAGAAGATTGCCCCCGACGCCCCCAGATTCATCTACAATACTAGCCAAGGTGTCATTGGTCCCCCTAATACACGGACAGTACCTGTTTCATGTACAGGAATGAAGACAACACAAGCTGCTGGTGTGAGGAATCATGTTGTACAACAGAACTGCATCCAGGTCAGCATAGAACAGGAAGCAGGAAGTATAAGGCCATGCAATATTCCCGGATACAAGTCGGGTCACAGGATTTGTACAATGACTCTATAACGTCTCCCTTTTTTACATTCCATTCAAACCTTGTAAACAATGAAACTAAAACAGATCCTGAACAGTCTTGAACATGGCATGCTGTGTGACTGGTAGATACACTACAGATTGAGTCTATCTGGTGGTCTGGAAACTCGACCACTACGCAAGGCCACAGGGATTTTCCTGGGGAAATCCGTTCAGCTCCAGAAGGTGTTGATAAGGAGCGACCTGGCTGGTGTGTTTGGCAGAGAAGAACTTGTCGGGATATGTGGCTGCATTATGTCATCCTCATTGTATCCCGATATGACAGCGGAGTTCTCTCTGCTTTGAGTATATGGTCCAGTAGGACTCGGGGCATTGAGCACCTCAGGAGGATCACGTGCAGGATGCTCATAGGCTTGTGCGGTGAATCGTTCTGCCCTTCGCAGGTCCACTCGATTGCGGCGGTAAAGACTGCCTTCTACATCCACAAGATATGATCGAGGAGCAACCCTCTGAACACAGGAACCCAGTCTCCAGCGATCGGTCCTGTCACCTGGAAGCGGCTTCATACGGATTGGCTCTCCAATGCTTAGTTCAGGTAAGTCTTTAGCAGACACATCGTATGACAGTTTGGCAATCTGTTTCCTCCGCTGCAGTTTTGCCGGGACACCTGTAACCACACAAGGATCAAGTAATTTGTTGGGCCACAGGCAATGAAGTCTTCAATCTCCTAGACATCAAGCGCTGTGCAGGACTACTGTCCATGCCTTCAGATGGGGTGTTCCTCCAATGTAGAATGGCCTTCCACAGATCAGTACCATCAAACTTGGCCTTCTTACAAAGATTCTTCACTATCTTGACAGCCGATTCCGCTTTGCCATTGGCTTGCGGGTGCCTCGGGGGTGAGGTAACATGCTCAAATCCCCAATCTGTAGAGAACCGTCTGAATTGCTCACATACAAATTGAGGTCCATTATCCGAGATGACTCTATCCGCTGGCCATAACATGCAAACTGTGCTTTACAACGCTTGATGGTAGTATCAGCAGACAGGTCAGGAAGTAGCTCAATCTCCCAAAAGTCAGAATAGTGATCAACAATTAGTAGAAAGTCCTGCCCAGCATAATTCAGTAAGTCCATGCTTACAATTTGCCAAGGCCGGGTGGGCAGCACATGCGACATCATAGGTCCTTTCTGTTGTGCCTGCGCATATTCATTGCATGCCGAGCAACAGCTAACAAAGTCTCTAATCTCGTTCTGCATGTTGGGCCAGTATAGGGTATCACGTGCTTGCCTATAGCATGCTTCTCCTCCAATGTGACTGGCATGAATACGAGTCAGCATCTCCCATCTTAAAGATTTAGGAATGATGACCCTTGGCCCTTGTACAGTATACCATCTTGGATGGCGATTTCATCTGTGAAAGTCCAATATTCTCTCACAAGTAATGGGGCTTCCAACTTGGAATCAGGCCAACCGTTCAGAACAACATATTTAAGAGCCTGCAAACTCTCATCGGTTTCAGTGTGCTGTTTTATCTGAAGCAATCGTTGGTCCGTGACGTATAAATAGTCTGAATGATTAATCTGTGACAGGACCTCCAGGTCCCGCTGAACATTGCAAACTGTGTGTTGTGCATACTCAGGTGTACCACCTGCTGCTGTAGCTCTGCTAAGAGTGTCACTAATGTACATTTCAGGACCAGGTTTATAGACAACATTTAGGCAATAGTTTTGTAACGTGACAACATGCTCTGTAGACGTTTGGGTGCACACAAAAAGTGGTTTCTGGAAAATAGAAATCAGAGGTTTATGGTCAGTTTCTGCCGTGATCTCGTCGCGCCCATAGAGGTAGTGGTGAAAGCGCTGGCAGGCAAACACTATACTCAGACATTCCTCTTCTATTTGTGCGTAGTTTTGTTCGGTAGAGTCAGTGCCCTTGAAGCAAAAGCGATAGGCTGGCCAGCTTGCAATAGACAACACCCAAGTCCAGTTTTGCTTGCATCACTTTGAATAGTTACAGGTTTTGTAACGTCATAGTACTTCAGGACAGGTGTGTCCGTGACCAAGCGTTTGATGTCCTGCACTGCATTATCATGCTTAGGAAGCCAATGCCAAACAGCGTCCTTGTCCAGAAGCCTTCTCAATGGCTCACAGACCTCTGAGAGGTGTGGTAGGAATTTTGCTAGGTAGGTAACAAATCCAATGAAGCGCTGCAGGGATTTCACATTTGCTGGCTGCGGCATATCCAGTATGGCTCTGATTTTTTCTGGGTCAGCCTTCAAACCCTCCCAGGTTAGAATGTGTCCATGAAAGCGGACTTCTTTGACCTTGAATTGCAGCTTTTTCATGCCAAGTCTCAATTTTACCTGCCTACAACGATTCATCAGTTCCAGCAGTTTGCCATCATGATCTTGCTCTGCTTCCTCATCTGTGTCCCCACAGCCACACAAAGGATGTCATCAGCTATTGGTTCAATACCACCGAGTCCAGCCAATAGTTCATGTTGTTTACGTTGATACACCTCTGGTGCAACTGATACTCCAAAAGGCAGTTTGAGCCATCTTTTCCTGCCCCACGGAGTCCAGAAGGTTGTCATGTAACTACTTGCATCATCCAACTTACACTGTAAAAATGCATCCCGGGCATCAACAAGCGTGAACAGACGTGCCTTAGGCAGCTTGTACAAAACATCCTCGAGAGTTGGCATGATGTAGTGAGATCGTCTCAGTGCCATATTTAAGAATTTGGGATCTATGCATATTCGTAGCTTATTTGGCTTCCTTACAATCACCATGTTACTTATCCAGCCAGTTGGGTCAGTCACTGGTGCCAAGTGTCCATTGGCCTCATACTGGTCAAGCTGTGCCTTAACTGCCTGTTTTAATGCCACCGGCACATTGCGTGGTGCACATTGGACTGGAGGGACACTCACATCAAGGTGGAAATGAACTTCCCCTGGTACAGATTCTACTGGCCCAGTAAACACATCACTAAATTCCTTTATCAGCAGTTGTTTTGTCAAGGGCCCCTTGGATAGATTGTCCATCACATTAAGCTCTGCAGGGACGGAGAAACGTATCAGCCCTAGACGCGCTCACAGGATGAGCCAGACAACAGTGGCTTTTGGCTGCTTCCACAATTTCACACTCCAGCTTGTGTGTTAGTCCACGTATGGCACATTCTGTCTTGAAGAGCCCTAGAGATTTCATCATCGCACCGGAGTATAACTTTAATCTGGTGTCACTTGGCAGTAGACGTGCTTCTGGTGCTGACACCATTTTGTCTCTTAAGCACATTACATCCCACGTTGTTCCTGAATGGAGGTGACAGGATTGGGGCTTATTATTTACATGTAAAGTGACAAACCATTTCTTTCCTCTGGATTGCACAGCGCCCATCAATTCACTGCTGTCTATAACTTCAGGTGTGTGTGTGGGGGGGGGTAGGTGATGATCTGTGTGGGGGGAGGTAGGTGATCTGTGTGGGGGGAGGTAGGTGATCTTGTGGGGGGAGGTAGGTGATAACTTCAGTGGTGTGTGTGGGGGTGAGGTAGGTGATCTGTGTGTGGGGGAGGTAGGTGATCTGTGTGGGGGGAGGTAGGTGATCTGTGTGGGGGGGAGGTAGGTGATCTGTGTGGGGGGGGAGGTAGGTGTGTGGGGGAGGTAGGTGATCTGTGTGGGGGGAGGTAGGTGATCTGTGTGGGGGGGTAGGTGATCTGTGTGGGGGGAGGTAGGCCCATCAATTCAGGTGCTGTCTATAACTTCAGTGGTGTGTCTCTTCCTCATATGCGGATGTGTTCTCCACGTTGTGTCATTTGCCTATTGATGGCCGTCGTTTACTTGACAAACAAACGTTAGTAAAATGGTTTGTTCTTCCACAAGACTTCCAGACTCCCCATAAGCTGGACACGGCTCTTTAATTCTTTCATGCACAGTCCCACCCAGTATTTGCAAGCTGTAGGGTTGGCAGTATTTGTGCTCATCAGGCGGCGTTGCTGCAGTTTGTTCCTGTTGCCATGCTGCATTGCAATGTTTATGCTGTCGGTCTGCTGTCTGTCCTGTTCCATAACTTTCAGACGTCTGTCAGTGAGCTCTGCTGTACGGCACGTCTCAATGGCTGTGTGTAGAGTGAACTCATGTTCTCTTAGGAGGCGCCTGCGTGTGCTCTCTCGCTAGCTATACCAACAACAATTGTGTCCCTTATCAATTGGTCTCTGAGTGCCATATTCACAAGTTGCTGCCTTTTCTCTCCAGTGTGTAACAAAGTGATCCAAAGATTGTCCCTCTTCTTGTTTGCAGCATCCAAACACATCCCTTTCATAAATGACATTTGTAGCAGGTATGAGATCATCTTCCAGTACATTTACAATGGCTGTAACATTGTGTTGCTGATCTGCTGTGAGGGTCACATTGTGTTTATACACATGCCTGCATTCACTGCCCATGACTCTTCTCAGAGTTGCTGCCGGCACTCCTGCACATTTCTCATTCCAGCCTGTAGCCAGACAATAATCTTCACATTCAGCTCTGAAAGATTCCCAATTGCTGCTCCAATCCCCACTCATTGTCATCCCCTCTGGGGGAGGTATGCCATTCATGGCAGCCATATTGTCAGGAAGCCTCTGAGCTATCAAATCTCAGACAATCCTCAGTCTCAGGCTGTAGTTCACAAACCTGTGTTTCCCAAAGCTGCTGCGCTCCAAACAAGAGGCTCAGTCCTGATTCCAGTCACTTCTGACACCATGTTTCATGTACAGGAATGAAGACAACACAAGCTGCTGGTGTGAGGAATCATGTTGTACAACAGAACTGCATCCAGGTCAGCATAGAACAGGAAGCAGGAAGTAGAAGGCCATGCAATATTCCCGGATACAAGTCGGGTCACAGGATTTGTACAATGACTCTATAACAGTTTCCATCTTGTTGTATCATGAATGTAGTATGGAAGATGAGTCCTATGTACTAGGAATGGTCATTGGAAGGACAGAATAGGAGCCACATGATTGGCTGGCCAACCCCGTGACAGTATAGACTAGTGGGTGACATTGATTGAGATCTGCCCGCTGTGTGTATACAATCACCCGGCTAATGTCTAATATCAGGGGACAAAAATGTGCCAGCATTCATATCAGACTAAGGGAAAATGGCCGCCGGAGGAGGGACAGGCGGGCTACAACAAAATGGAGGAGGGAGATCTAATCCACTGTAATGTAAAAACACTATATTAGACCAAGGGAAAATGGCTGCCAAATAAGGGACAGACAGGCTACAACATAATGGCGCCCGATTAGTCTATTAAGGATTATAATGGTATATATAGGCAGCTGTACGTCCGATGGCCAACTCCTGAGGAAGTCACGTGATGTGATGTAACCTGTAGAGTGGGACAATGACGTAAGGTGATAAATAGGAAGTTTACGAGCCGCCATCATCTTTTGCTTTTCAGGTTTTTTTCCCTGTTGTTTTATACTATTCAGCTTTTGTTGGACCAGCACCATCTAGTGTCTGCTCTCCATACTGCAGCCTCTGTATAAATCTTTCCGGAAGTCACTTCCTGTCTGTCACTTCCTGTCTGTGTCACTTCCTGTCTGTCTGTGTCACTTCCTGTCCCTGGAACACTTTCCTCCTCTCAGCCATTTTAGATCGGCTTCCAGAGGTCCTGTGATTGTCGGTCTCCATCCTGAACACACGGCCACCATAGGGCCAGCATGGGATCTTCTCCATGTCAGAGCACACGGGTAAGTCAGGTGGATCTCCTATTCCTGGTCCCGGCTCCTGTCCCTGCTATAGACGGACCAATCATCTGTGACCGAACCTTCCTCCTCGTCATCGATGATCTGGGTGTATTATTATTATTTATTCCAGGTACTTATATAGCGCGCCGTCAGTTTACATCTATATTGTACATTCCCATCAGTCCCCGCCCCCGAGGAGCGTACAATCTAAGGGCCCTAACTCACATTCATACATACACATACTAGGGACAACTTAGACAGGAGACAATTCACCTCCCAGCATGTCTTTGTAGTGTGGGAGGAAACCAGAGTACCCGGAGGAAACCCACACAGGCACAGGGAGAACATGCAAACTCCAGGCAGGTGGTGCCATGGTTGGGATTTGAACCAACAACCCGAGTACTGCCAGGCGGAAGTGCTAACCACTCAGCCACTGTGCTGCCCCGTGCTGTATATATATCTCAGCATCTACTTCTCAGTGTTGGTTTCCTCCTCATTGCCGGCCATTAAATGGGCCTCAGAATGGCTCCGGTATTCCCTCCTAGGAAGGACATTCAGGCCGATCTCCCACCATGTTCCTCTGATGTGTCCGAGACAGAATAACAGGAGAGACACCAGGAGAACCCGCTGGGACCTGACACTCCGAGAACCAGAGTTATGGTGGAGTATAGACCCTTCCTGAGATACTCCTCCCTGGGAACGGTCATACCTCCGTACTCCTCTCCTGTACATACCCATCACTGTCACACCTCCGTACTCCTCTCCTGTACATACCCATCACTGTCATACCTCCGTACTCCTCTCCTGTACATACCCATCACTGTCATACCTCCGTACTCCTCCTGTACATACCGATCACTGTCATACCTCCGTACTCCTCTCCTGTACATACCCATCACTGTCACCCTCCGTACTCTTCTCCTGTACATACCCATCACTGTCATACCTCCGTACTCCTCTCCTGTACATACCCATCACTGTCATACCTCCGTACTCCTCAACATAAACGCAGTGCAATACTAAACATAATACAGTGCAAACAAACCAACCAACCACCCACAGATAACAGTACATACAAGCAAGCGTCGTCAGGCAGGCCGGGTCAATATCAATTGGGCAGGTAGGTACAGGGGGAGCAAGCGGAGAATGGTCAGGGTCACAGGCCAGGTTCAGCAGGTAGCAAGCAGCGTCGTACAGAGGGTCAGGCAGAGGGATGGTCAGGGTCACAAGCCAGGGATCAGGACAGGTAGCAAGCAGCGTAGTACAGAGGGTCAGCAAAGGAACAGAAACAGGATGCAGGACAGATACAGGGCCCCAGGACAAACACAACACCAAGGCAGAGTCTGTGGCTCTGGCCATCCTTAAATACCCCAGCATAATCAGTTCCAGGTGTTAGCTGGCTGCAAAGTTGAGTCTCTGATTGCTGGGAGCATCCGCTGGCCAGCCCTGGTACTGCAGATCAAAAGGCAGGTGAGTCCCACCATTGCTGGCCAGTCCATTCCTGACAGTACCCCCCCCCTCAAGGAGCGGCCTCAGGACGCTCCAAACAGTCCTAGCTGGGAAAAATGTTCCACCGCCCGGGTCTGGTAACTGGCGGGATATCAAAGACTGGCACACCGGGCAGGACTCTGGGCAACGGTACACCGGGCAGAGGCACATCGGGCTGGACTCCGGGCAGAGGCACATCGGGCTGGACTCCGGGCAGAGGCACATCGGGCTGGACTCCGGGCAGAGGCACATCGGGCAGAGGCACATCGGGCTGGACTCCGGGCAGAGGCACATCGGGCTGGACTCCGGGCAGAGGCACATCGGGCAGGACTCCGGGCAGAGGCACATCGGGCAGGACTCCGGGCAGAGGCACATCGGGCAGGACTCCGGGCAGAGGCACATCGGGCAGGACTCCGGGCAGAGGCACATCGGGCTACCAGGCGAAGCGGCAGGCAGCGGGCCACCAGGCGGAGCGGCAGGCACCGGGCCCCCGGGCATGGCGACAGGCATCGGGCCCCCAGGCGGGGCGACAGGCCTCGGGCCCCCAGGCGGGGCGACAGGCCTCGGGCCCCCAGGCGGGGCGGCGGGCACCGGACCCCCAGGCGGAACTACAGGTCTCGGTCCCTCAGGCGGAGCGGCGGGCACCGGACCCCCAGATGGAGCGACAGGTCTCGGGCCCTCAGGCGGAGCGGCGGGCGCCGGACCCCCAGATGGAGCGACAGGCCTCGGGCCCCCAGGCGGGGCGGGCGACAGGCATCGGGCACCCAGGTGGGGGTGACAGGCATCGGGCCCCAGGCGGGGCGACAGGCATCGGGCCCCCAGGCGGAGCTACAGGTCTCGGGCCCTCAGGCGGAGCGGCGGGCACCGAGTCACCAGGCACGACAGTGGGCACCGAGTCGTCCGGCAAGACTGCGGGCACCGAGTCAAACTGGCGGAACAGAGGGGCATCGAGTCAACTGGCGGTCGTCTGCAACAGCGGGCTTCGAGTCGTCTGGCAAGACTGCGGGCACCGAGTTGTCTGTCAAGACTGCGGGGCACCAGAGTCGTCTGGCAAGATGCGGGCATCGAGTCAACTGGCGGAACAGCAGGCTTTCGAGTCGTCTGGCAAGGCTGCGGTTGGGCACCGAGTCGTCTGGCAAGGCTGCGGGCACCGAGTCGTCTGGGGCAAGGCTGCGGGCACCGAGTCGTCTGGCAAGACTGCGGGCCACCGAGTCATCTGGCAAGACTGCGGGCACCGAGTCGACTGGCGGAACAGCGGCGCACCGAGTCGTACTGGCGGAAACAGCGGGCACCGAGTCGTATTGCAAGACTGCGGGCACCGAGCCAACTGGGGAACAGCAGGCTTCGAGTCGTCTGGCCAAGACTGCGGGCACAGCGTGTTCGTCTGCGGAACAGCGGGCACCGAGTCGTTCTGGCAAGACAGTGGGCTCCGAGTCAACAGGCCACGACAGTGGGCACGAGGTCATCAGGTATCGGATTGTCTGGCTCGACAGCTGGCAATCGGGTCACCAGGTATGACAGCGGGCACTGGGTCACCAGGCATCAGGTCATTTGGCTTGCCAGCGGGGCACGCGTCATCTGGCAAGGCAGTGGGCACCGGGTCACCAAGTATGACAGCGGGCTCTGAGTCAATTGCACGCACAGCGGGCACTGGATCAGGTACCGGATCATCTGGATCAACAGCGGGCATCGAGTCAACTGGCCCTAATAGGATCGACGGGCGTGGGATCAGTTTCATCATGCTGAGTAGCGGCATCAGGCTGAATGCAGGCATCAGGACTGAGGAGAGGCTTCAGGCTGAGGAGAGGCTTCAGGCTGAGGAGAGGCATTCCGGCTGAAGAGAGGCATCCGGTGAAGAGAGGCATCCGGCTGAAGAGAGGCATCCGGCTGAAGAGAGGCCATCAGGCTGAGTGTAGAGGCTTCAGGCTGAGTAGAGGTCTTCAGGCTGAACCACGGAAGGCAGGTTCACCGGTTTGGAATACTGGCAGGATGGTATTGGTTGGAAAGAATTTTCGCTTTTTTTGGTTTTTAACTACTGGAGCACTGCAAGTAAACGCAGGTCTGCAAACGCAATGAGCATGATGGAGACAGAGAAGAAACCTGGAGGAATGGGAACAGAGGAGGGAGAAGTTGCTACAGAGGGCTTCTTTAACAGGGTTAAAGGGGATTCGGTGCAGGCGAGTGGGAACAGGGTACTGACATGGGTAGATAGCCAAAGTATACTGGAGCTGTAACTGGAGGAGCTGGTGGGAATACAGGAGTAGAGTTAGAAGCAGGGACGGGGTCTTTGTAAGCTGACTGAGCTGGGTGCAACAAGTCTTGTCCATGTTGCAGTATGGGGTTGAACAATGCTGAGCTTACACAAAGCCCTGTCTGGTCAATGACTGCACTGCGTTTATACAATCTCTTAGTGTGCTGTGGTGAACATGTGAATAACGCTCCAGAAAGTAACCCACATCATCCTCTAATAACCACACCAGGGACTCTACCTGGTCTGCACTAAATGGTGGCAAAAATTCATCCCTGCATTCGGGGTTGGTACCAGATGAAACCAACTCTGCACAAAACCTCAATCAATGGCTGCACCTCAGAGAACACTGTGCCCTGATCTACTTATAACATGAGCGATCGTATACCATTCTAGTAGTCATTCCCGGGGATACTCCTTCAGCGTCTGATAAGCATACTCCCTGTCATAAAACACTCGGCAGATATTTAAATAACACAACACTCATTCCAGATCCATCCTTCCCATCAACAAACCAATATGGCTTCCTGTTGCAGCCACTTCTGGGTTCAGGATTGGCCTTGGTGTAATGTCAGGGGTCCCAGGTTGTGACCCAGATGTGTTGTGTGACTGATGCCAGGGAAAAGCGCAGGACTTCAAGGATATGTGATGAACAATATAATTTATTAACACTAAACCATACCAAACCATAAACGAGTGCGAATACTTAAACCATAATACAGTGGCAAACAAACCAAACCAACCACCCACAGATAACAGTACATACAAGCCAAGCGTCGTCAGGCAGAGCGAGGGTCAATATCAATTGGGCAGGTAAGGTACAGGGGGAGCATAAGCGGTGAGAGGGTCAGGGACACAGGCCAGGTTCAGACAGGGATAGCAAGCAGGTAGTACAGAGGGTCAGGCAGAGGGATGGTTGGGTCACAAGCCCGGGATTGGCAGGTAGCAAGAGCGTAATGGGGTCAGCCCCAAAGGAAAGAAACAGGTGCGGAAGATCGGGCCAGGGCAAACAAACACCAAGGGGAGTTGTGGTGGCCCCCCCTTAAATACCCGCATAATCAGTTCGGTGTTTTCTGGCTGCAAAGTTGGTCTCTGTTGCTGGGGCTCCCCGGCCAGCCCTGGTTGCAGATCAAAAAGGGGGGCCCCCATTGTGGCCGCCTTTTTGAAGATCCCCATCCGACAGCATCCTCCGACTCCCCCCGTTCCCTCTGATCCCGGGTCTCCCTGTAATCCCCTCGATACCCGTACTCCCTCTGTCCCCACGCATCCCCGTACTCCCCTGACATACCTTTCCGTCATACCTCCCATCCTCTCCGGATTTTCCCTCACTGCATCCCCCGTCTCCTTCCCGTGTACCCATCCTGTTTTCCCCATCCTCTCCGTACATACCCATCACTGCTACCCCCCAATTCCCCCCTGTACTACGATTTCCCGTCTTGAAATTTTTAAGTTATTTTTTAAAAAAAAAATGTTTGTAAACAAAAAAAATTTTTATTTTGATAATTCTAAATTTTTTAAACTAAAGCTCAATGCTGTTAGTAAAACCCTTTTCCAAAAAGCTGGCAACAAATAACAAAACGGATCGCCCTTTCATCCCGCTGTGGTCTTTGCTGTTTAATGCCCATGTCCCCGCCAAGCATACCTTTTGAACAATGCATTTCACTTACCAAACTGCTTATATTGCAGGCGACATTTATTCCCCAAAAGTTATCCCTTGGGGCCTGATTTATACAAAAAAAATGTTTAATATCTGTTTTTTTGGCCCCTTGTTTTGAAATGTTACTGCTCCCCCCCAATTTTCCCTTTGGGAGCCCCAGTTGGGCTGCCCCGGATGTTTTTTTCCCGTCCTTTATATCCCGTGCATGACGTTTGGGAAACCTACCTGTTTTCACATCGGCCTTTTGGCCCCCTGCTGTTTTGTTGAAATTTCTCTTTTTACTAAAATTGTTCCCCTTCTTTTTCCCTTTTTTCTTATTCCTGTCCCAGGGGTGATGATGGCGCCAGTGCGCCCTTCTAC